GAGGCGGTGACGGTAGCATGGGGTGGCAGCGCTCGGTCCCGTCCCCGCCCCCCACCCCATCATTCTTGATAGGCAATTTGCTAGTTTCTCGATACTGATGTTGTAATGCTCACAGATCTCTGATACGGATATGCCCAACTCTTCACTATCAAACCTTTTCAACATTTATTTAACAGAACCCGAAACTCAGACAAGCAAAGTTATACCATAAGGGTACATTCTCCACAGCTTGTCTTGGAATGAGACAAGTCTTTCTCTGTACTTTCTCTGTCTCATGCCTTCCTGCCTATTTATAGTAAAATTCAAATCCCAGTTCCTTCTGTTGCTTTCTTGTTCCTATGTTTATGCACTAAGACAGCTTTCTCCAGCACATAAGTGAGTTTTGTTTTCCTTAGATAAGAACATGTAAAGAGTTCCACGGTATCAGCTTTTCTGAGAATAAAACAAAGTGAGAAATATTTATTCTCCCCTACCCCATTATTTTCAAGTCTCCAATCAGATGAGCAGGCATCATTCTGTGACAAGTAAGAACTCATTTTTTGCCTCAGTATTTAGCATGCAGTTTCAGACTTATGCTAAATAATTTAGAGGCGGGAAGTGAAACCATTAGAAATTTTTCAGAGTATAGCATGCTTCAGATTCTCAGATCCATTGCGTAGAGAGATCTATCACTTAGTCATCACTTATCACTTCAAGAAGAAAGCTATTGCTGTGACGATACATCCTCTTCAAGTGACAGGTCAATTTCTGAACCATCTGAAATGCAGTGAAATTGCAGCCGTCCAAATCTGACACGCCTTTGGGATTAGAAAGGCAAGGTTAACCTTTAAAAGATGAATAAAGGCATCACCAAAGAGTTTCAAATGAGAGGTTTTGCTGCACCAATGGTAAGTTAGGAGGCGAGACTGAATTAAAGAAGTGCCAAGCGGGAAGGTGCACCTTCCTTGCTTAGAGTAGAGCCCAGCTTTGTATGATGCCTTACCTCTACACACAGAAGAATGTGTGGATAGCACAGGGGGAGCAGAGGAGGAGAGAGGTAAGAAGATCTGCTTCTGTGAAAATGCCTGTTATAAAGGAAATATGTTGCAGTATGTATGCTACTCCAGGTAACAGAAGGAACTAAACTCCATGGAACCATATTTAGCCATCCCAATGCCTGGAGAAAGGAGATTCTTGCTCTGCTTTCCTTTGACAATCCAGCCATCTGGATTCAGTCTTAAAACACTTGTGCTACTCTTATTAGGAAAAAAAATGGATGGAGCCAAGTTGTGAAGGCAGTGAGCCTGTGGTGACAAAAAGAAGAGGCTAAAACATAGGGTGGGTGTGGTACGTCCCTTGTAACTCCCATCACTGGGTCAATCTATACCCTAAGAGTTTTAAAACAGCTACATATTAAAAATGATTTTTAGAATGATCATAAACATATAAATTAAAGGATTAATACAGGATTGTTAATCTGTTGCCAAATTGCATGTGATTTTAACTGACTTTGGAGTAACAGCAGGCAGGAGAATGCAAGTGCCAAGGAAACCTCAGCATGTCACTTGAAGAGCTGCCACCATAAAAAAGATGATGTTACATTTTATCAGCTCACATGTCTGCTTGTGACAAGACAGACAGGGAAGAGAACTCAAGCCCCAAAGATGTCTTGCCCAAGCTGTAGGGGAATGACTAGAAGCTATTGCAGAAGAAAAAGTGCCAGTGAAGGAAATGAAGTAGTAGGCAGACAAACTTAAACTGGAGGAGGAGGGAGGTAGGGACCTACACTGAATTCAGATCTAGAAAAATGCTCTCTTCTCTTTTGGCTTTTATTTTGCTGGAGTTAATTCACTTGAGTCAAGTTTTCAGAAGTACTAAACACCTGCAGTTCCCACCTTTCTTCATTTGGTATTGCATATATTCAGCACTTTGGAAAGCCACAAAACACTAGATTCAAATACAGATACTCTGAACAGGAAGCTGTTCCACTAAAACTAATGGCACTAATGAAATGAGCCCTAATGATTTCCTCCTGGGCAGAGCTTGAAGTGAGACTTTAAAGAGAGATTTTATCTACTTGTAACAGCTACTAAAAGGGAGACAAATTAGGGACAAATGATAGTGCCCACATACTGTCAATCTCATAGCATTTTAATCAGTTGTACATGAAAAACAGGTGGCATTAAGCTTTTCATGCTAGTCTGGCAGATACCAAAACAAATTGTAACAGTTGAAATACTATAGATTGCCTTGTTTTTAGAACAGATTATTTAACTAAGAAACAAGAGGCATTTTTTTTAAAGCTCTCCTGGCAAAAATGTTACTGTAACCTTCCTGGAATACAAATAAATGGGTAGAAAAAATGATTGCTGTGAATACAGAAAACAAAAGAGTTTGATCAAAGGTTTTCATTATGTACATTCTTTAAGGGGAAAAAGTAATAACATTGCCTGAATTCTGAATTAAATATAAAGCATTTCTCATATGTGAAGTATCAGTTAGTGCTCATGAGCTTATTGATCAACCTCCATTAATATGCTATATAGTATGAGCTCCATCAGTCATGGACTGTGCTCCATTCTATGTTTATACAGCTCAAAACAGCTTTGGCACACACTCCTGCTCAGGCATGTGCCAACTATTCACTGACATATGCTGCCTCAGATAGCAGCTAGTGCAGGGTATATTTCCACCCAAACCCCTCAGGTAGGTTGTGGGAGGCAGATTGTGAATTTGAATCACAATCTGTTGCTTATTCTGCCCCTGAGGCAGTATAGCAATGTGCTACCACAAACAAAGAGCTTAACTCCATTATCTACCCCTATGCCAGGAGGGAGCAAGTATATGGGATTTCAGCATTTAAAAAAGTATATAGAACACAAATGTTTTATACCAACTAGGGGTGCGGTAAAATTTACTTTCATGAGATGCCATATAGTACATCCCAATGAGTAATGAACATAAATTTTCTATTGCCACAGAGGGCAGCTTGATGTAGATTGTAACAGATAGAAGTGGTAATGGAGCTGCCGGTTTGTGAAGCTATTATTCAGATTTTTTTATTGCTGTAATATTTAGGGGAAAAATCATGCAGTTTTTACTCAAGTAAAACTCCCATTACGTTCAAAGTGCTGCATGTATTTCATGTTGACTTCAGTGGAAGGTGTACCTCAATACTCCTGCCAAATTCTGTATGTTAACAAAACAAATACATTTGTATTCAAATTCATCCTAGTCTGGGGATCCATCACATCCTTAACAGCTTGATACTTGGTTCTACAGACTTTTTAAAAGAGCAACGTCTTTAAAAGATCAGAAAGTATTGCAAATGAAACCACGAAGCTTACATGATAAATTCTGTTAGGTTGCACCATTTTTTAGAGTCTACTTTCTTCATCATTTCTTCAAATGATTTTCCACAGGCAGGCAACTTTTCTAACATGAGAGATTCATTGCAAACAATTGCTTGATGTCGTGCACCTAAAACAAATCAAAGAGCACTTTTAATCTGAGAACCTTGAAGGAGGAAGAACTATGAGCATGTTTACTGCACAGTACAATTAATACAATCATATTTTGCACTTTTAGCATAAACACTTTTCTCCTCAGTCATCGTAAAGGACTTTACAGATTTTGATGAATTTAGTTTCAGAATACCACTGAGCTATGTTATCTGTCCCATAAGAAAAATGAGGCAAAAAAAGAATCCTTAAAACTAAGTTCAGACCAGGTACAAGTATTCTCATTGTAGTTAATGGCATTGGGAACCACTTGCACTGTAGCCAAATTGGACTATTATAAATTGCCCCAGGTAGAACTAGGAAGAAAAATGAAGTACTTTGATTATTAGCTCTGCTGGCTTATCTATTTTATCAATAATGCAGTGACTGGCAGACAAAGGAAAAAGGCTTATGCTCACAATTAATTAAAGAAAAACCTTAAAACTTAGCATATTTCTTTTCCTGAAGGGAAGAGTTTTGTCCAGAACTGGGCTCTTAGAAAACCACCATGTGGGTTGCAATTTCCAATGGCTGTTAGAAATGGATTGTTGATTTGAAATTACTAAACCTGTACATAGCACAATACTGTTCCTTCACCGCCCACCTGTGCACAGCTATTAGCAATTATTACATATGAAATACTAAATAGCAATTAACAAGTGCAGAATCAATACTGAGTGTAAGTCCAACTCCTGGAATGGGATTTGAATTTGTGCGTGTCCTTCTGTGGCCAACTGAGCCATACTGCTGTATAAAACATTGGTTTCTACAGTCCAGCATATAGGAACATATCCAACTGCATTTACAATCGTAATATGATTCTATGCTGTAAGGCAAAATGGAATTATACGACATATACTGTTTTGGGCTATAATGTAGGTTAGAAAGAAATTTTCAAGTTTACTAGACACGGCTTGCTAAAAATATGTAGTTTCAGTCAAACAGTTTAACAGCATGAATATTTATTTATTTCATCTACAAAGCATCTGCACTTTCCCCTTGCATTATTTTTAGCAGTTCCTACAACTTTTTAGGTCTACACTCATCAGGAGTGAAATTCTTTAACAATCTATTATAATTTACTTTCTTTTGGGCTTATACAATACCAAAAGAACAGCTGGTCATAAAATAGGATCTCCATGGACAATTCTGATATTTCAAAATTTGTTTTCATGCTGAATTGAAGAATGAAGTTAACATTTCAAAGTTCCTATAGAACAAAAATTCTGAAAACTGTCTGTTCAGGATAATTGAAATATTTCACTTTGATAATGTTAAGACATCCTATTTAGACAAAATTAAATGTGTTTTGGTTTAAGTTTTTCATTTTTTCAAATTTTGTATGACATTAAAACTATATTATTTATAATATTGAAATATCTTAATACTATGTTTACAAAGATTTAACATATATAGCAAAATTAAATTAATCAGAATGAGAAAGTGAAAATGATTTTAATTTTTAAATTTTTTTACTTGTATACTTTTTACATTTTTTTTTACTTTTTCTAATTGGAAGTTATATTCTTGGGAAAAGTTTCCATTTTGACAGAAGTGCACCGGTGTACCCCCTATCAGGCCACAGTCCCTAGGCAGGAGCACCGGTGCCCCCCTGCAAGCACTGGCCAGGGAATGCAAGCACCGGATGTAGGCTGTGGCTGCTTCTGGAAGCGCCACAGCCACTTTCGAGAGCACCGCGGCCACTTTTGGGAGCAGTGTGCCGCTCGCTGGTTGGAAAGTTTTGCCATGGGGTGTATTCCCTCCAGTCGACAAGATTGGCCATGAGGGGACCCACCCCCTGGTCACTGATTGGTCACTGGGGAGGCACATGCTACTCAACCCACTAAACCAAGAAAAACCTCAAGAGCTAAGTACAGACAGTCAAAAAAACCCAGGCTGAATTGATTCAATCTTTGCAGGTTAGTCTAAGCTTCGTAGTTTGGACTGATAAACAAGTGAACAGACATTCACTTTTGATTCTAGAAATACAACCACATGCCTGCAGTAGTCCAGGCCAGAAGCCAGGGGAGCACTAGAGCACTCCTCTATACTCAGCTAGAGCAGACATGTTGGTCCAAGGCCAGCCCGGCCACCTTGCAATGAGGTTTGTAGGGGAAGTGCAAAGCAACCTGGGATGCTGGGGGACTGTGAGTTAACCTGAATCTGGAGGGGAACAGATGACTGACTCTGTGGATGTGGGGAGACCAGTACATGCGGTATATCTTGATTTTAGCAAGGCTTTTGATATGGGCTCCCACAACATTCTCACAGGCAAGCTAAGGAAGTATGGGCTGGATAAATGGACTGTTAGGTGGATAGAAGACTGGATGAAGCATTGGGCTCAGAGGGGAGTAAATCAATGTCTAGTTGGTAGCTGGTATCAAGGAAGTGATCCAGGGGTTTATCATGGGGTCAGTTTTGTTCAATATGTTCATCAACAACCTGGAAAATGGGATGGAGTGCACCCACAGCAAGTTTGCAGATGACACCAAGATGGGGGGAGTAGTAGATATGCCAGAGGGTAGGGCTAGGATTCCAAGTGACCTAGACATATTGGAGGACTGGGTCAAAAGAAATCCCATGAGGTTTAATAAGGACAAGTGCAAAGTCCTTAGAACCTGCCTGCACTTACGACAGAACAATCTCATGGACCAGGAAAGACTGGAAACTGACTGGCTGGGCAGCAGCTGTGCAGAAAGGGACCTGGGGGTTATAGTGGACAATAAGCAGAATATGAACCAACAGCATGTACTTGTTGCCAAGAAGACTGCATTGGTAGGAGTGTTGCCAGCAGGCCAAGGGAAGTGATTATTTCCCTCTTTTCAACACTGGTGAGGCCACATCTGGAGTACTGTGTTCAGTTTTGGGGCCCCCACTACAGAAAGGATGTGGACAAACTGGAGAGAGTCCAGTGGAGGGCAACAAAATGGTGAGGGGGCTGGAGAACATGAGTTATGAGGAGAGGCTGAGGGACCTGAGCTTATTTAGAGAAGAGAAGAATGAGAGGGGATTTAATAGCAGCCTTCAACTACCTGAAGGGAGGTTTGAAAGAGGATGAAGCTGGACTGTTCTCAGTGGTGGCAGATGACAAAATAAGAAGCAATGGTCTCAAGTTGCAGCAAAGAAAGTTTAGGTTGGATATTAGGAAAAATGTTCTCACTAGGAGGGTAGTAAACACTGGAACAGGTTACCCAGAGAGGTTGTGGACTTTCCATCCTTGGAGGTTTTTAATACATGGCTTGACAAAGCCTTGGCAGGGATGATCTAGTTAGAGATGGTCCTGGTTTGAGCAGGGACTTAGACTAGATAACCTTCTGGGGTCCCTTCCATCTGTAATTTTCTACGATTCTATGATCTGGGACAAAATAAACTCATTTAACCTGAATCAGTTATGTCTGATATTACATCCATCCAGGTCTATTTTAAACTAGTTTCAGCCACTTTAAAAGTAGTTTTTGTGCACTGAACTTCTGTTGTATTATGGATTTGAACCAGGTTCCAATCACTTATACTAGTTTATGTATGATTTCTGTCTCTAGCCACAAAGTGATACAATACTGATGTGTCTGGCAATTTGAGATAAGCAGTGACCTGGGGGCATTTATATATGTGCTCTGGGGGGAGAGAGGAGATTGGCTTTAATTAGAGCAGCTCCAAGAGCTGCTCTAATTAAAGCGCCCAGAGCGTCATGTGTATCAGCGTTCCTTTGCTGAAAAAATGGCAGCGGGGCACTTTAACTAAAGCTCATTGAACGAGCTTTAGTTAAAGCACCCCCCACTGCCATTTTTCAGCAAGGGGACACTGATACATATGACGCTGGAGATTACTGGAGCTCAGTAATTACCACGCTCCAGAAGACTCGATTAATTTGCATGTGTATAGGCGCCCCTGTTAACTAAATGTCAATGTTGGAAGCAGGGTGTTCTCCACTAAGGACTTTCACACAAAATACAATTCCTCTTTTGGTGTGATCAAATAAAAGTTTGTTCTTTGGTGCACAATACAAATCCTAGATATTTTCTTAGACTCCTACTAAGTACACGGTTTGGTTTTCATGCACTGGGCATTTTTGGCAGGCTGTGTTCAGGGCTGGAATATTTTTCAACATCTTACAAAATACCAAATATACTGCAGAATTAGATACTGTAGAATCAGATGAACAGGTATGTAACTGTATAAGATATTTCCCATAAAAACATCTGATCAAGCAAGAGTTTCAGTCAGAGTATCTAATTCTTCTCATGCTGTAACTGCTTTCACAATGGGAACTAAAGTCATATCTAAAAGTTTTACAATAGCTGGACTATTTAGACTCGTTAGAGACTCGACTGGTGAAAAATAACAGTTCCACATGTAAAGCAAACTGCCATTGGACCAAAATGTATAGAAGTCAACTGACTGACTGACCTAACATATATGAATGTGTGTTTCTAAAGGAATACCATTAACCAAACTGTAATATCTGTTTCATATTTAGAAACAAAAGAACAACTCACCTCCTAATCCAAGTGTCATTAGATGATTAACTAGGAAAAAAAGAATAGGGGATTGATTAGGATTTATTAGAAGTTATGGCTTTATTCCAACATGATTAAAATAGGAGTACTGCTAGAAACAAGACAGTCTTGACCAAATTAATGATTCAACAGAACATTCCAGGTGCCCACCCCAACTTAATCATGGTTACCATTTGTTCAAAAAAGAACCTCCTTCTATATATCTTTTAATTTATATAAATCACACAGGCTCTGTAAAGATTTATCTACACTACAGAGCCTTTGCTGCCCTAGAGCTATGCTGGCAAAACTCCCTAGTGGAGAGACAGAATATGCCAATGGATTGAAATTTTCGGCCAATACCATCTCACTGAACAACATAATCCAAGGAAGCAGGAACACTGTTCTGTCAGTTTAGCTGTGTCCATACCAGGGGTTTTGCTGACATGGCTACATAGTTTTGGGAGAAAGGGGGGAGCATGATTTTTTTCACACTCTGCAGGCAAAACTTTGTGGTGCAGACCTATCCACTGGAGCTAAATGAGTTATTCTCTAAGTGAGTACTTTCAGATCCCCCTTTACACCTTTTATAGGCCCATTGAGTGGGTTGTGCTCTGCAGGAAATAATGTAGATCCAAATTCTGCCTTCATTAATACTGGCCTAGTCCATTCTATAAGAACCGTTTTACTCAAATGTCTATGAAAAGTATGTAGTCCCTACTAAGCAATAATCTTCTGTCATCGTCAAGTGCAAGATTCTTTGCATACAAGATATTAACGAATGAAAATGTACCAGAATTCTATGAAGCAGGAGTCCCTGGTATATCAAGATGCTTGGATTATACCCTGACATAAGATTTTGAGCTCATTTGTAAAGCCTAAGAGTTATCTCCCTCTTGGAAATACAATACTTATTTTTCCAGGCTAGTTCAAGCCAAGAAGGCTTAAACATATTAGTAAATGAATTCCCTATGGAGTTTTAAAAAGCTACATTCATAATATTCTTTATTGATTGTTGAGATATACGTATCAGTTTAAAAGCCCATTCCCCGTTTTCTGGGGAAGATAAACTACCCACTATAAAACAACCGGACGTTTCACTGCACAATGACAAAGTCCATTTAATTTGGAAATCTTGCTCTGTCAGTTCATATTGAAGGAACTTCAAGTACTCTCCAGTCATGAATACAGGAATTCTCACAACAACATTGTGAAGCGAGTTAACTTAAAGAAAGGACAGGAATAGTACACAAAGATTTATCCGCACTGCACAGATTGGATAACAGAGGCACAGAGAGTTCAAGTGGCTTTTTTCCAGCGTCACATTAGGATAACTGTAACCAAGCCAATTATAAAGAAGGCTTCTTGACTCTCATTCCTGTACTTTAATTATAAACCCAGCCAGTAACACAAAAGGAAATGTTACTCATATTGCTAGTCAAAGGTGACACAAAGGGTCTCACAAAATCGTTCTCAAACATATTGTCAACAAAAAAAGTGTCTGAATACCATCACATGAAGTATGAGCACACAGATCAACTTCTGATGGTCATCTTTCATTGCTTTTAGCATTTTCAGATATTTTCCTAAAGAAAAAGATTTAACCAGAAGACAAAAGTGAGACTTGTGACAGGATATAGACAGATGGCCCAAAGTATGATTCAACAGACAGTCCTTTCAGTCAGGGCTAAGTTGAGTATTCAACTTTAAAGGTCTTTTAATCAACCATCTCCATTAAATGCACTTAGCATATACATAGCTAGAAGCAAAGTGCAGCTGTGGAAGATTCTGCAGTAAATATGATGCATTCACAAACATTTTTAGTTGGACCAACAACGGGAAAAAGGTTATTTTGATCATGTCAGCTGGCTGCAGGTTTAATCACATTGAAAGGAAGTCACAGCAGCTGCTTTTATTTCCTCTACATCCAAGCACAAGTTAAAGTGGTTACCAATTAACATTGTAGAAATTCAATAGAAATGAAAGTTAGTGAGGTGGGTACAGCAGCAGGACAGAAAAGACTGGGGGAGTTTTGGGTTGGGAGACATAGAGGCGTTGTAAAAGAACACAGCAGAGGAGCAAAACAGAAGAAAGACATAAGCAAATGAGAGAACAACAAAACAAGGATTTTTTATTATTGTGTCTTCAAAAAGCACATACAATAACAGTGAAATCCTGACACCCGATTTGCACACTTATTGCATATTATGCACTCTGTCTTGTCCATAGAAGACCTTACAGGATTTATTATCTAAAGTGACCCGGGGTAACATAAAAATTCAAGATAAGAAAATAAGTATTGCCATTTACTGGATCAGACCATAGTTCCATCTTGCCCAGTATCCTGTGTCACACAGTGGCAGAAGTTGTGAATGTACCAATCCCCTGGTACGTTCATTATGCCAGAAACGCCATTTCTAGGATAAGGTGAGATGGACCATTATGGCCTTTCCAATGGCCTTTCATTATGCAAGAAAGGCCATTTCTGGGATATGGCAAGAGGGACAAATTATGCAAAATTCACCTTTCAGATGAATGGTATCACCAAAACTAGTTCATATTTAAGTGTAATTTTGTTATGTATTGGCACCCTTTTTAGAGACACTATTATTCATACCTCAGTCACTGTATAAATCTATAATGACATTTGGGTTGGTGCAGTGTCATGTTCCCAAACCCACTTTGCAATAATAAGTTTTATTTTTTATGCAGGTTCAAAAGGACAAATTATTCTGATATTTTCAGTTTCCCTAAAAATTTGTCACACCTGAGTGATTTTTATTATTCTCCAAAGAATATATGAAGTATCTCTTGTTTCATCTGGCTTGTGTATGTAGGGTTTTATCAAAAAAGGACATTACAGCAATATTCTGTATATACTATGCTGTGGCTTCTCTTCATTAATATTCAAAATTTGTCTGGCTCACTCCAAAACAAATTGCTTTCCCCTCAGATTTCTCATTAACTGAAGAACAGAAAAGTACCAAAGGATATTTAATGACCACAAGTGGCCATGAAGATCTTGGTTTTCTATCTCATTTTTGAGACAGCAGTTTGCAGCCAATGATTTTCCCTTAGCAGCATGATTAAGTATTAGTCAATATTGACTCTGAGATGAAAACAGCACCTACTGAATCAGCATCTGCCTCTTCCTCAAGAAATCAAAGCTCCCCTAGTGGTCTCCCATCCAATGACTGACCCGGCACTGCATAGTTTGTAAGAGTAATCAGGATCACAGTTTGATGGGATATGATTGTAGGGCAACTGCTATTGATGATTCGTCAAGGTCTGTGATGTGCCATAGATTATTTTTTAAATTTTTGTTCTAAATATGAGGCATTTCAAAACACTTCATTTGAACCTTTTTAAGTATTTAAAGATTAAATACCTCTGTTCTGTATGCAGGCTTCCATTTACAAGAATTAAGTGGCCATCTTTTTTCTTTTAAAGTACATATAAAGATTTATTGTTGCAGAGAACTTGTATCAATTGTAAGTCATGATTGTATATTTACAAGAATTGTTATATATTTTCATACACCAAAGGCATACAAAACTCTTAAGCATCTCACCTATGCTCTGGCATCTTCATATCAGGTAACAGAGTGGCCAAAGGAACTCTAAAAGTATTGGATCCAGACAGGGGACAATTTCTCTATTATTTATCCCTGTGAATTACTGTAGCACCGATGAGTCATAGTTCAGACCAGCACCCCACTGTCCTTGCTACCATACAGAAAATAGAGACACCTCATGCCCTATTGAGACACTCTTTTGCAAGTCCCAGCATAAGCAGCATGCCCAGAATATGGCCATTGTATCCAAGGTTAAAGAGGTTCTGGGCATCCCTGCAAATCCAGAAGGCAGACTAAAGCAGCTCTCATAACTGAAACAGGTTCCCTGGACCTATCTGAGTTATACAAAGATTTTTTTCATCCCTTGGAATAGCTTGAGGGTAGATCCTAGGTGCTCTAACAGCTAGTAAGACTAGGGCAGATTCTCTTCTGAGTTAAGTTGTCATAGTTTCATTGCCTACAATTGAATTGCAGTGATTTACATCAGATGAGCATCTGCCCTGCTCCATTTTTGGCTCAACTTATCAATGGAGTAAAACTGTAGGGAACATGCAAACACTAAGCTACTGAACTAGAGGTGTTCTGCCAGCTTTTGTACCAATGCCTGCATCCCAGAGAGAATCATCCTGAGGAAAGAGGCAGCAATGATTGCACCACTGTCTTCAGTGAGAAAAGGAAACTATAAATTTTGACTTGAGGGCCACAGTCAGAGCGTACTCAGCAGATATCTGAATTCATTTTTCAGGAACCCCAGCTATATCATCTCACCACAGACTTTCACTCATCATCTGGGCACCACTGAATGACTTAAAGTTAGCCCTCCTTCCAGTACAGCCTGAGTATCAGACATTTTGCATCACCATGACTGCTTATTTTGACCTACTTCACATCACCAATGCTTCTACAATCCAGCAGCTGCACCTAAACAATTATTTTAAGTTGCTCTTTGAGTCTAGTTTCAATTTACCAACAGCATGAAGATGCTAATCCCTAGACAGAGATAAGCCAGAATGATAACTTAACACAAGCATGCTAAATGGATTAGACATGCAACAGACCAAAGAGACAACTGGAAGAAGCTCAGAGAAATGAAAACTGATTATGGTCATATGTCCTAACACAAGTTCCCACATAGGCAGCAAGGATGCAGTTCACTAAACAAGAAGTACAATAAACGGGCACAAACATGTGTAACAAAATGGTCAAATGTGGTGTAGTGACACAAGAAGAACAAGAAGCCCTTCAGGGCTGGCAGGCAGTCTGCCATTACAACAGTGTGTATTTCTGCATAACACAAGGCAATACCCTGTAGAGATACTCGAACTATCTTGAGTGCCAAAAGCAGCATAGTTTTAAAGAGTTCTCAATGGGACCTTGATGAGAATCAGGGTATATAAGCCCAGGTGGAAGACTGCACTGAGGCAGTTAAATTGCATTCAGCATCTGACCTTACTTG